CATGGAAGTCTCTCTTCTAGTGAGTGCCTAATAGTGTCTCTACTAAGTGGGGCGGTAGTAACCCAAAACAACTGACATAGGATCGCTGGGGGTGAGCGGACCAGATAGGTGGAGCAACACATACAAAACAGAGGCTTCTCATTGGAAAGGGAGGGTGTTCCATGTGAGAGCAGATGTTCTGCAGGTGAGCAGCACCTGGAGGTAAGTTCATGGAGAAATGACGTGTAGAGAAACTTCACAGGGCCCGGTTACCTCTAGCAAGAATGAGGTATGATGATAATTAGAGGCACTAATGAATCACACGGTAGCCAAGCCACAGGATGTGTGCAATCGCATAGCAGTTTAAGCTTTTCTTACCTGCCTAGTGATGCCCACTGAGATGGAGTTTCCTAGCAGAAACTAGAAAATCCGGCTTTCGCTGCCTTACATAGTCAAGTGACATGGAGGTTTAAAGTTACAGAGACTGAATCGACAATTTAAAACCCACTGTTAGAAAATGGTTGGACGTGCAAAAAAATCCAGTAAAAAGAGACAAAGAAACTGGTCAAACTCATCTACGGAGGTCAAGAGATCTTGTTTCTGGGCATAACCACTGAGGCTGGTTAAAAAGCAGTTGGAAGATAAGTTTGCAGCAGGTGGATCCAAAAGTGGAAAATTATGATAAGTGGATGGATCATTATCTACTATTAGTAAAGTAATATAATACAGGGGGTAATAAAATAACGGGTCAGATGGAAAAAAGTCATAAGGATGTTTTCATAGGAAGATGCATTTGTTAGAAAGATGTATAAAAGTTGGGAAACAGTGAGGGGACAGTATGATTCAGAGTGGGAATCTATTAGAGGATAGAAAGGCTAGTTGGTAGAAATAAAATGAACAAAAGTAATGTATTTAGAAAAGCGTGCACAGGATAAGGAGGTCTTGGGGAGAGGCTGTCAAAACAGAAGATGCTGGCAGTGTTCTGACAAATTTCAGGATGGAAGGGAGCTACACACACAGAAGGTGTTTAATTTCAAAGTAATAAGAGCTCAACAAAGGTTGGACTGAGCAAGCAGCACTTTCTATGCTAATGACACCACAAAGAGAAAAGCATAAAGAAAACTAGTGAAGGAAATAGTCATTGGAAGCTGAGCATTGTGCGATTTCGTTAGCGCCCCCTTGAGGTAAAATCTGGGGAGTCTGGGGAAGTTAGTGCTGGGACTGGAATTTTGCACAGAGAGGTTGAAGTTGAGGCTGGCATGCTCAGGAACTTCTGCAGACCAGTGGTTTTTCCTACTGATCAGCACTGCTATACTGATCAGCAGATGCTATAGTGGGAGCATCTCTAAAAAGCCTCATCTCTTACTAGAAGCATCTCTGCCCAGACAGAACAGTGGAACCCATTCTCCTCTGCAGGCTGCTGAGGTTTGGAGCAATGGTCAAGTCTGCCCTGAGGACAAAGAATGAATAGAACTAGGAGCCAACCTGTTTAAGAACTGGCAGTGTGGTTGAGGCAAAAGATCCTGGGGAGATGTAAGATGTTAGGGTGCAGGAGGAGGCATCAGCATACACCAATCATGCATGGTCTGGCAAATGGATAAGAAGAAAATTAAACCAGAAGGGGCTGATAGCACAGGAGGATGGTGGCCAGACCTATGTAAAAATAGAGCTCTGACCCACAACCTGCAGCAACCTGCCTGAGAAATCACCCCCTTATCTATGATAACCAGTGTAGGAAGGCAGCCTGCTATCTCCAGCAACAATCCGGGAAGCTAAACAATAACTTCTGTAACAACTGGCCCCAAATGGCCAGGACTTGAATAACTGGTAGCTTCCCTAATTTTAGGGCCAACCAGAGAAAGCCAAATATGCACTCTAACCAATCACACAGGATGTCCCACTTCTAGCTAGCCCACCTACAGCCTCCCCAAGCCAACAGCCTCCAATCAGAGCACACCTGAAACCTTCTTTTTTTCCCACTGTAGAGCTTTCCCATTCCTCTGCCTGCCTTTGAGTTTCTGCCAAACATGAGTGATGGTGGCCGACTCCCTTGCTGTAGCAAGTTGTGAATAAACACTCTCTGTTTGCACATGGTCGGTCTTTGTGTATTGCCACAGAGCCAACGACTAAAATCAGGGTAAAGATAGATTAAGGATAAACGAGGAAGTGAGAGCGAGTGATGGTGGCCGACTCCCTTGCTGTAGCAAGTTCTGAATAAACACTCTCTGTTTGCACGTGGTTGGTCTTTGTGTATTTCCACAGAGCCAACGACTAAAATCAGGGTAAAGATAGATTAAGGATAAACGAGGAAGTGAGAGAAATAGGAAGTTAGATGTGAATACAGAAGGGGGATTTCTGGAATCTTTGGAAAGAACGGGCAGAGAATGAACATTTATATATTGTTTGTTATGAGTTTCATGATGGTTTGCTATGGCTTTATACAATGCACTGAATCGTCATCAAACATTTTGAGATAGATTTTTTTTTTAATTATCATTTTTATAGGAAATAAAGCTAAAATAGTCTTTATGACCCATCAGGGGTGGACAGAGTCCAAGGCCAGATTTGCTCTTTCCCTGGGTCAGGCCATCTCCAGACCCCTCTGACCTTGTGGTCCTGTCACTGCCGTGACAGTCTCATGACTGTACTGTTAATGCTTGTTCAGTCTCTTGGTGCTTTGCCAATAGGCGATAAATGAAATAATTCAATTAACATCTTGCCCCACTTTAGAGTTAATAAGAGATAGACTGTAGATTTGAATTCAGATCTTTCTGATTTCAAAGTCCACGGTTGTTCATGGCATTAAACTAACTTGGAAGTGGAGTAGTTTGCTAGCAGGTAGGTGCAAAGGTGAAGCAGATGTTACATTTACTGAGATGGTTAAAAAAATAGTAAGACTAGAGTATTAGGAGGTAAATTTTCAAGTTACTAAGAATGCTGGGGGGGGGGATGGGACTGAGGGTTGGGAGGTCTGTTAGGCACAAAAGAAGGTGGGAGAGAGTCCTGGAAGTTAGAAGACAATGTTGCCTATGATGATAAAAGGGGAGTGGATGGTGTAAGAAGGTTTCAAATTAAAATGAGAATGATCTGGAAAAGATGGCAGAATGGTCTGGAAACTGGATTGGGTATAAGGCATTGCAGTGACCCTACCTCCTCATGCTGTGCCCTGGAGAGAGGAAGAAAGAAGCCTCCTGGGGATGAAGTTAGGTGAACAAGATGCCAGTTCCGGGGTGCTTATTGATACAAAAAGTGCTTATTGAAATGTCTAAGGATGCAGAATAACAGAAACAGAGGACACAGGGAAAGAGGTTGCAGAAGAGAGAAAAATCTGGAGGGAGCTTGGTTCTGGAAAAGATGACTGCATATGGGGGTGGTGTCTGGTAACCAGGGTAGTGACTCTAACTACCCAGAGGTTAGGAAGTGGGAGAATGGGTGGTAGTCAGAAGAATATCTTCTAGATGAAGGAGAAGACTTGCGGAGTCATCAGAATTTAGATATTGATTGAGATAGGAGAAATAATCAGACCCAAATTCCAGTCGTACAAGTTAAAATCAAAATTAGAATAAATTATAGCTTCCCCCAAGTGAAAAGAAGTCTAATTCTAAGCCTGTTTCTTTTTTGTTGAAAACTACCAGTACTTGGAAATGTGTGCTGAAAAGGCATGGATATTTGTCTTAAGGAAGTTGTTATGGTTTGACCTCTATAAAATCGCCTTCTAGGTCCTGGGGTTTGCATTTAAAGTACCCAGCAGTCTTCATTATAAAGTGAAGAGAGAGAGAAAGCAGTGTTTCTGCTCAATAGATATGAGTCATTGGCCCCTTGTTCATTGAATGTTCATGGGTGACACATAATAGTATTAGCAGATGACAGCAGTCTGCTGATGCCCCGTTGCTTTCTTTACAATAATCCCAAGACAATTTTTCTCCTAAATGCAGCCTGGGAAGTAAATATGTTTATAGAACACCTTTCTAACACGAAGGAATAAAATCTGAAATATATACTGATTTCTTTCTTTTACGGTCTACTCTGAATATAACACTTGTTTCCTGGTAACTAGACTATCATGTATCATGGGTTTAAAAAAAAAAAGTCAGTTCTCTCGTAGGGACATTTCCTGCACCAGAACATTCAACCTCAAAGCAAAATATCCAGGGGAAAAACTCACATACACGTTACCAAGTTATTGTTGATTGTAAGCTAGAAAAGAGGGGCTCTTGAACTAATGCTTTCCAGAGGGAGAAATTACAATTTAAACTCATTATAGGCTCGAATTCATAATTACTGCTGTAATTTTGTGGCCTCACATCAGGTTTGCAGCAATACACATGTAAAAACAGACCTCTTATCTATCTGCCTCCTCTCGGTATTTTTCTGCAACCTCCCCCACCTTCAAAAACAAACAAAAAAAGCAGCAGCTCAGAGAAGAGGTTGATGGGATTTATGGGGTTGAAACCATACTGTGATAGCACCAGGAAAATGCTATTTAAACGCAACTAAAGAGACAATACAGAAATATAATGTTAAGGTTGCCATTTCTAGACTAAAACCAAACTTGTTGCAAAATTGGAACAGACTGAGGCCCATGTCTTCTCATGGACATGCTTACTTATTTAATCCTTAACTTTAAGTTGGAATTTTTCCTGAGATGTGCGTTTCTTAACTTGCACTTGATATAACACCCAGCATAGTGTTCTTTGTCTATTGAGGCTGTCACTCAAGACAGGCCAAACCAAAACCTCATACACAGAGGTCTCCAAAAATGCAAACTGTTACAAAATTTCATTTGGAGGGACCCCCTCCCTGTATAAAATATGACCAAATTGTAAAGTGAATTAAATCATGACTCATTTTTATTCCCTTGGGCTAAAAGTGTCAGTAGACAGAGAGTCATGCCCCGGCTTAAGCCAAGGGGAAGTTGGATGAAAACATGCATTTATGATATTTTTCTCTCCATAGTCCAGGGCTCTCTTTGGCTTTCTTGCCCACCCACTAAAAGAGAATGTTTGCTTGTTACCTCTTACCGACATTTATTTTGACAATTTTTTTCTGAGAGTCCATCCTCGTCCTCTCCCATAATGTCCACAGCTGAAAATATCAATGCGACCAGAATGGCAAAGCAGCACACGAGGGCAAAGATCACGATGCACTTCTGCTGGGACTGAGGGAGAGAGAGAAGACAGAGAGATGTAAATAGGACTGCTTTCCCTTTGGTTACCCAAGATTTGACAACTTTTCAAACTCCAATGAAAAATCCTTTGGGATATAATTATTCTTATCGCTGCCAGAGAAGGGCTGTTCTCTGGGTTCCCAAAACCTTATGTTTATTCCCCCATACAGTCTTCAAACCCCAACTAAATACGTTAGAACCTGTTAAATAATTCAAGTGAAGCACCCAGGCTTCCAAATGGGTCTGCTTTTCTTCTTTCTACTCAAAAGCAGTCCAGAAAAGACCACTTAGAGCTCTATTATTTCAAATTAAAAATGAAACACAGATGATAGCATCATGGGTTATTTAGTTGTCGTAATTCATTTCAAAACACTGAGCTCAGACATAACCCACATGCATACTTTTGAAATGATTTCCTCTTAGAAAGAAAAGATGAAGGTCCGGATGGTCAGAGCACTTTCATTCCTTCTTTAGGCCCGAGTGTTGTAATTTGAGACATCCCCATCTCTAGGGGCTCATGACTAAACGTGTCAGAAGACAGGGCCATGATAACAGGGCTGGATCCATGACCACTGGGATGAATAATTTTGCCTGCATTCTCCTCACTATGGTCTAAATGTGTGTGTCTGTCCCAAACTCATATGTTGAAATGTTAACCCCCAAGGTGATGGTATTAGGAGGTGAGGCCTTTTGGTGATTGGTAGCCTTAAAAGAGGCCTTAGAGAGTCCCTTTACCCCTTCTACTGCATGAAGATGAAGGAAGAAGGGGCCTTCTTAGGACCAGGAAGCAGCCCTCACCAGACACCAAGTCTGTCGGCGCCTTGATCTGGGACTTCCCAGCCTCCAGGACTGTGAGAAATACTTTTCTGTTGTTTATAAACTACCGAGTTTATGATGTTTTGTTATAGCAGCCCAAATCGACTATGACACCCTCTATTAGCTAAATCTGGATGGAAAAAAGAGGAGAAAAAGCAGTTTTTAAAAGTCTACGTGTAGCTTTTAGGGGTTATTTACAAAGGGGGGGGGAGGATGATCTTTGACCCTACAACCCAGCACACCTCCCTAGTGATGGGATAGAGACACACGTACACAAACACATTCAATTTCAGAGCCTTTTTGAAACGAGCTGATTTTGCCTCCTCCTGCCCTCTATTGCCACAACCCCATGATCTCCAAAGAACCCAAGGAACCTCCCAAACGCAGAGTCCAGTTCATCTAGGGGCTGCCTCAGATTGCAGAGAAAGATGTACTCAGGTCAAAGGAATAAACAGTAACCACAATTCTGCTCTCTACTTCTAGAAACTCAACTTAATTTTTTTAGCTCCCACATATGTTGTAGTGTCCTACAGTAGTGCTAAGTGTCTATAATGAA